GATTTCACTCATCCTCATCACCACGACTGGTTCACGTTGGCCTGCGGTGCTTCTCAGCCTGCAGTTCCTTTCGTTACACTGTAGTTGAAGCCGTTCATGGCAGTGACTCGTTTAAAGACAACTTTAGTATTGGGGGAAGTGTCGATAGCAGCGTTTCTTTTTACTTATACAAGCGTTGATAGCAGTGTCTCGTTTGTGGACAACTCATTATATATCAACTCATTCATACAGAGTTTCTTTTCGCAGCAAGTGAATGCACAGCAGTGTATCTGCATTACTGGCCCCCACTCCATTATCACTATCATCATCAACGATTTCCTACACGCGTGTGCGCGGCGGTCGCCATGAGTGAATAGTTTGCAGAGACTTCTCGCATTGATACCCATGGGTCACTTCAGAGTGAACTCATTTGTGATCTTCTTTCATTGGAAGTTGAATCGGTTGATGGCAGTGCCTCGTTTAAACTCCACTTTGGTATTGCTAGTAGTGTCAATGCCAGCGTTTCTTTTTAATTGTGCAAGCGTTGATAGCAGTGTCTCGTTTGTGGTTAGTTATAACAGCGTTGACAGCAGTGTCTCGTTTGCGGACACCTCATTGTACATCAACTCGCTGATACCGGGTTTCCTATCAACACCATCATCATCATCCTTAACCATGTTTGCTCGAGTTTCACCTGGCCGTCCAGCCGCGGCGGTGCTCCTCAGCCTGCCTTGTCACAATGCCAGCACGCGGCAAGGCATCGCCCCCGCCACCCCCGGCCCCGTGCGATGGCCCGTGGGAGATTCTGCCGGATCCGCCCGCACCGACTCCTCAGCCAGGTGTCGACGTGGTCTTTGAGCAGGCTCACCTCGAAGACATCCGCCGTACACCAGGGATGGGCGGCAAGACCGCCTGCCAGTGGCAGCGCGCGCTGCGCGCCGAGTGCATTGTCAACAACTTGTCGTTCAAAGACGTAACAAACGACCCGTCCTACGACTGGAAGCAACTGCTTCGGTCTGCCGCTCCGGGTTTCGCTGAGCGCATAATCGGGCAGGGCATCGCCCAGGTTCTCTTTCGCATCATCGAGACAGAGCGCGACCCTAACTACTCCAACACGGATGGCCACGGCAGGCACTTCTTCGAGTTCCGTCGTGCAGACGGTTCAGCCATGCGCCTGCATTACCATAAGAACGGCCGACCCGATGAGCCCACCTATGTCGGTCCACCACGCGCCGTTGCTCAGCCTGCCGTGCCTGAGCCTGGCGCTGCTCAGCCTCATGTTCCTCGTGGCGGCGCTGCTCAGACTGCCGTGCCTGACGGTGGCGCTGCTCAGCCTGCCGAGACTGGCGGTGATGCCCCACTGCTCTTCACACAGGAGCACCTGCAAGAGGCAGCCTGCTCGCGCCAGATTGTGGGCCGCGACGAAGCCAGCGCCGCTCTCCAATCGCTGTTGCACTACCACCATGGCGAGACTGCCCCAGGTGCTGTTGACATCACCGATGGCTCAGCATTTGACTGGCTTCGATGGGTGGCACATATCGAAGGTGCGCGCGACGTCATCCGCAATGGCGTCCACAGGGTCTACGCTGTCCGCTGGAATCCGCACTGGGCTCCAGAGGCCGTCTTCTGCTACGGCAACAACACCTACAGCACACTGGTGCCCCGCAAATCGCGCTACACAGGCTCGTGGAGCCACGCGCGAATTGTGACTCACCGGAACGCCAATTGGGTGACCGAACCGTTGCTATCTGCGGCCCCTGTGGCAGCTACGCCGTGGCTGGTGTTGCGGGATCAAATAACCTGGGAGTGATCTCTGGCAAACGAGATGTGGTGCTTCTCAGCCTGCACTCGCAGGTCCTTCGGAGGTCAATTGTTATGAGTTCGGCACGGTCTCGGTCAAGTACAGCGTGCTGTGGGGATCCCGAGATGGGGCCTGGCTCAAGGTGCTCAAGACGTACTGGAGTGTCCCAGAGCCGGAGTGCCAGCTGATCCTCGGGAGTTGGAACGGCATTTTCAGGCCGTGGCCGGACACGTTCTGGATCAGGACGGGGGGGTCCGAGCCCGAGATAGATGCTAGCGCTCTGCAGTACAAGTGCTTTTCAGCATGCGACATCCTGCGGTGCTTCTCAGCCTGCAGGGTTCGCAGCGTGCGGTTTGCAATGCATTCCTTTTCAGTATGCGAGTTCCTGCGGTGTTTCTCAGGTTGCAGGGCTCCGAGGCTCTTCCCTTCGATGCCAATGTTTTCAGACACCGTAGCTCCGTTCCGTAAACATCTTCCAAGAGCCGCTCGCAACTTTTTGCAGCTGGCGGTCTGCAGACGTAGTCTGTCTCAGCATGCGAGCTCCCGCACGCTTCGCCGGCTTTTGCTGCGCGGACAATTTTCTCACACACGTCAGCGCCGTTTGTAGGCGTCAGAAAAACATGTAGACATTCACGAAGGGCTCAGTCTGTATATCGTCACATCATTACATACGCAGTCGTCGAACACATCGGTGTACATTCAGCGCTTTGTCCTTCTAGCTGGGTCGCTTCGTGCTGAGGCTGAGGCTGATGCAGGCTGAGGCTGAGGCAGGCTGAGGCTGAGGCCGAGGCCGACGGCAGACTGAGGCTGAGGCTGAAGCAGGCTGAGGCTGAGGCAGAGGCAGGCTGAGGCTGAGGCTGAGGCTGAGGCAGGCTGATGCTGAGGCAGGCTGAGGCTGAGGCTGAGGCTGATGCAGGCTGAGGCTGAGGCAGGCTGAGGCTGAGGCCGAGGCCGAAGGCAGACTGATGCTGAGGCTAAAGCAGGCTGAGGCTGAGGCTGAGGCAGGCTGAGGCTGAGGCAGGCGGAGGCTGAGGCTGAGGCAGGCTGAGGCTGAGGCTGTGACTGCGACTGCCGTTGCCACTGCGACTGTCCTCGCGAATGCGACAACGACTGCGAGAACAGCAGAATTCTACAACTGGATTCTCATCCGAATCTTAAGGGGAATGCTTCCAGATATGCTCCTACACATGGCTGTTAGGTTGCTTTGCCGGGATAGTTTAGAAGGCGAGGGCCTTATCTATAGATGAAAGGCCGGCGCCTTCTAAGAAGCAGACTCCTTCTAAGAAGCTCTCCCCCCTCCCTCTACCCCCTTGTGCGCGACGCCAACCGACGTTGCGAACAAAAACCCAACCTCGCGAAAAGTCATCACCGCAGCCCTGGACCCCACCTCTCTCAGGAGGAGAAGGACACACAGACACAATTCACGTTCGATTCCCAGGGAAATGTGGGAAAATATGCGAAGTGGGGGGGGGAAGACGAAACCCCAGAAGATATGGGAAGATATGTGGGATCCTGGGATTTGTGTCTATTTACTTAATCGCTTCGCTCATTCCGCCGGCCCATATTGTCGCACCGTTGTGGGCTAGCCGAGTTTTGGGGCCTCTTGGGGGCCGTTTTGGGGCCTCTTGGGGCCTCTTTTGGGCCTCTTGGGCGCCTCTTGGGGCGTCTTGGGGGCCTCTTGGGGGCCTCTTGGGGCCTTTTTGGGGCCTCCTGGGCGCCTTCTGGGGCGGAGGGCTCGATTTTTCAGTTCTCGGTTCCCCTCTTGAGCCCCTCTTGGGCCCGTCTTGGGGCCTCTTGGTCCGTCTTGGGCGGCACTTGGGCCGTCTTGGGGGCCCTCCTGGGCCGTTCCGGGGCCGTCTTGGGAGCCTCGTGGGCCGTCTTGGAGCGGTCTTGGGGGCCTCTTGGGCCGTCTTGGAGCGTCCGGAAGCCGAAAAAGCCAGAACGCAAAAAACATTGAAAAAAACAATGAAAATCAACGATTTTGGCCTCTTGGGGCCCTCTTCGGAGGCCTCTTGGAAGGCCCTTGGGGCGTCTTGGAGGCCTCTTGGGCTGTCTTGGGGCCCTGTTGGGCGTCTTCGGGCGATCTTTGGCCGTCTCGGGGCCCTCTTGGACCGTCTTGGAGGCTTCTTGGGGACCTCTTGGCCCGTCCTGGGGCCCTGTAACAGAGCTCCGGCATCTCTGGCCCGACCTTGCCGGGACCTTGCCGGGGTACTTTTCGTCCGGGGACCCCCAGGGGCCGCCCCGCGCGCGCGAACTAGAAATACTGTTAACCAGGTACCGGAGATCTTAGCACGCCCTGGCCCGTTGGGCCGGCGAATTTATGTGTCCCAGGGCCCCTTTTTATCTCTGCGTCATCTCCCGAGCCGGAGCGACCTGCGAGGGGCCCGGGGCCCGACGCGGGGCGAACCACGCCTGGATCTCAGGGGGGCCCGCCGCTCGTGGGAGGCGGCGGCGGCAGCGCCAGCGGGCGCCAGCGGCGGCGGCTGCAGTCGATCTGGGCCTCCCGGATGGGGTCGGAGCGGCTGGTCGGCATCGTGGAGCCGACCCCCATCCCCATCCCCATCCCCATCGAGACCCCCACCAAATTACTCCCCCAGTTGGGGAGACACCCCTGGAAATCCGAAGGGGATCGCCTGTATCCCCATGTCGGGGGGTAGATGGGCCAGTGGAGCCCAGGCCACGCCGCTGGGGATGGGGATCGGTTGAACGATACTCAGATGGGGTCGGAGGGTCGCGCCGCATCGCCGATGCGTCACCGATGCATCGCCGATGTATCGGGGATGCGGCGCCATCCTCCGACCCCATTTATTCCGACCTCATCTCGTCTTAATGCTTCGACTCGGTCCGATCTACCGAGTCGGTGCCGCCCGATCCTGGTCGAGGAGGGCCGCGGCGAGTGGCGCGGCCCCTCCCTGTCTTGGAGGGTTTCTCCGAAGGGTTTAGGCGACCCGTCCTCCTCCTCATCCTCCTCCTCCTCCTTTTCCTCCTGCCTCCTCCTCCCTCCTCCCTCCTCCCTCCTCCTCCTCCTCCTCCTCCTGCTCCTCCTCCTCCTCCCTCCTCCTCCTCCTCCTCCTCCTCCTCCTCCTCCTCCTCCTCCTCCTCCTCCTCCTCCTCCTCCTCCCCCTCCTCGGGTCGCCTACGGCCCCGGGGGAAAACCGTCTCCCCGCCTCTCTCTCTCTCTCTCGCTGTCTCTCTCTCTCTCTCTCTCTCTTCCGGAGAGGACCTGCAGCTGACCCACCGCCCGCTGCTCGGCGAGTTCGGGCTCCTCGGGCGCCGTCGGCGTCCGTCTCTTACGTTGAATCTTCGGGGGGCCTCGCCTGTCCCCAAAATTTGTATCTTTTTGTGTGCCCGACGCGGGCTCGATGCGGACTCGACGCCCATGTGGCGTGGACTCGACGCGGATTAGACACAGATCCGACGAGTGCGTCATGGATTCCACACGGATTCCACACGGATTCGACGCGGATAGGGGCGCGACGGGACAGACAAGGTCCCCGAGGATGCAGCATAACGTCTCTGATCAGCCACGCGCAGCGGTGGTAGGGGGAGAGGGAACGGTTTCTGAGAAACACCCCTGCTTCTTAGGAGGCGCGGGCCGTATCGCTAGGTGTACGGCTTGCGCCCTCTGAGAATCAACCTTCCAAGAAGCCTTCCCCCCCCGTGCGCGCCGCCAATCTGAGGTGATGTTGACAGCGCTGGGGGGCGTTTTCAGTTGCCCTCGTTTTCCAGATCGACACTTGTCTGGAACAAACAGGCGGCACTTGAAATCCAGACCTGCCTGACGCACCCCTAAAGGTAGACTTTCGCCATTCGCGCGCGGTCTCCAGTTCAAGATCCTTCATTACGTCGGGGTCTACATGTCAGGGTGCTTTGGTCTCGCGAGATTCGATGTTTCAGGGTCCGTTTGGGCGGGGTCTACATTTGAGCCCCCAAGCGTGGGTCTACATTTTGAGGCCCTTTTCGCGCGTCTACATTCGGGGGCTTTTAGCTTTTCGCCGAGTTTGCTGTCCGGTCTGGGGTTCGTTTTTTCCGTTTGGGGATTCTCGTTCGTGGCGGTTCCAGTCCGGTTCCGCTTTGCATTGCCGCAGTTGCCGTGTTTTGGGTTGCCGTGTTCGTCCACCCCCCGCTTATGTTTGGTTGGCCTGACCGCGAGAAGCTGCAGGCGGGGCCAAACTGCCCCACGCGCTCTAGAGGCAGCTACGCCCAGGGAGGGGTGGGGGGGGCGCCGTCGGCGTCCGTCCCGTCCGCAGACATCCCGCGCACTGAAAGAACGATCCAGTGCGGAGGTCGCCCGTCGTGTTCGGCCCCTGCTGGGCCCCAGCGACCGTCCAGCAACGGCGCAGGGCGAAGAGCCGGCCCGGGAAGGGGTGCAGCCTTTCGGGGGCCCGGGTTCCTGAAGATCGATGCCTCGGATCTCTGGGTTCTCCCTCCCCCCCCCCAGTCTGGAGGGGGGAGTGGTGCGGACACCGCCACCCTTCGCTCGTCGCCACTCCTGGATTCGCTTCGAGATGCTGGTTAGGACGCGCCCTGGTTCGGTGTTTGCGGGTCCGTCCCTCATCCAGTCCTCCTTCGTTTGTCAATCATCCAGGTAGATCTTGCAGGTCAGCTGGTCGGCACCATGAGGTATTTTTGTCTGGGGCGATCCAATGTGGGCCACCTTACACGCGAGAGAATGTATGAGCATCTTCTCACGAGGATAGACTGGGAATCACTGGTTGTGGTTGTAGTCGTGATTGTGGTCGTGGTTGTAGTTGTGACTGGAATCGTGATTGTACTTGAGATCGTAGTCGTAATCGTCGTCGCGTTTGTAGTCGTAATCGTAGTCGCGATCTTAGTCGTAGTCGTAAGCGTCACTGTCGTCGCGGCGGAGATGATTTCTCCTCTATTGTTGGGGCATGCGCAGGATTCGAGGGTTACTGCTGGGGTCGGCAACCCGAGGCCACTCACTCGGCGCGCCCATGGGAGCCCAGCCCCAGCCACGTCGGACCACGAGGAGCGGCCCGTCAGAGGCAACACGATGGCTGACAAGGGGGCCAAGCGTGGATCCAAGCTATGGGACGTTTCCGAGGATCATATTGGTTTGGTACCGGGTTGCGAAAAGGTGGTCATTGATGTGGTTCTGTGGCAGAATAGGTGTAGTTGTGTGTCTGGAGGAAGGAAAGACACCGTTCAGGACTGGTCCTTGGCGGGGGGGGGTCGAGTACAGTCGGACCGAGGTAAAAGATCGGGGTCGGTTCGGGGAGGGTACCCTCATGTTCTTCGCGGCGCGATAGCTTCTCCGACGCCATCTGCGACTCGGACCCATCTAGGAGGCCTCTATGAGCGTCCACGGCTGCAGGCCCAGCGCTCTGGGCGGCGGAGGAGCGTGCGTTCCTGGGTACGCCCAGGGAGAGGCGAAGGCCCACGGTGCCTTAGGGCAGGTTATATCACACTGTAAGGAATTAGATGGGTCCGGCGAGGATTTTCCGCCTCGTGCGCTGGGCGGGTCCAGCGAGGTTTCGCCACGCTGCCTCCTGTGGGCGCCTCGTGGTCGCCTCGTGCGCTGGGCAAGTCTGGCGAGGTTTCGCCCCGTCATCGCCCACGGGCCGTCGTTGCAGATGAGAGTTGTGCGGGGGGCTCTGCTTGAGCCTGCCCCCTGCTGGTGCCGCTGCTGAGTTCCTGTATATGGGCCCATGGACAGCGCGGCATACAGCTCGCGGCTTGAACAAGGAACACTCACTTTTCAAAAGGGGCTCGGTCGTTCCTTAGGTTTGCATGCGTTACTGATCGTTCCTTATGCGTTGTGTATTATTTATCGTTCCTTATGCGTTTGTTATTCCTTGGGAAAGAGGGGCTTCGCTCCTTATCCATCATTCCTTAGGTTAGGCCGATGACTGTACAACGTATCGCAAAATGCAATGCAGAACATATTAGCCGTCTTCAGCCTCTTGTGACCTTCACCGGACCCTGTGACCGACACGATGGAAAGCCGGCCCTTTGGAAAAGGGCCGACAGTTCCAGGCACTCCTTCCTTCCTTCTGCTGCTGTTTCTTCATCGCCCTCGATCCTTCCGGTCATCATTTCCATCCATTCTCCTGAACGTAAGAACTTGGCAGTGTGGCATGTGTGAACACACGTGGTAGAGTTCGTTTTGGGTTGTGCAATTGGGCGGCGGAAGCGGCATGCAGAAAACTGGTCTTGGATTTGCGTTTTTGTTTTCAGCGTTCTGGAGCCTTTGATCGGGGCTAGGGGCCTTCCAACAGCTACTCAGGAAGAAAGGCTTGTCCTGGGGAAGGCCCTGGGTCTACGAGGCTGGCAATGATGCAGCCGCGGGAAATGGGGGAAAGGGAGAGACTTTGGGCGCACCCCCTCTAGTCCCTACCCGCCTCCCCCCCCTCCTTCGATCCCTTCTAGCCCCCCCTCCCCTCCCCTCCCGCTCTCCCTCTTCCCGTGCCTCCTGGCTAGTTCTGGGGCTTTGGGGGGCCCTCCAGAATTGTGACTTGTGGCTCCCCCCTCCCCTCACCCAGTCGGGAGGACGACGACGGGAAAAACGACAACCACCACCACAATGGGGCAGGCCCGTTGATCGCCCGTCTGCGCCCCACCAGCTCGAGCACCCTGCGCCCCCGCAGCCGGTTGCGTTCGGTCGGTTCGGTTCCGTGGGTTGTCGTGTCGGATGCCACGCCGCTGCGCCCTGCTGGGGCTGCTCGCGGCTCGTGGGTTCCGGTCGGAGTTGGTTTCGCTGCCCGTTCGGCTGGTCTGTGGCTGCGCTGTCGCCATGGACGTCCTCGGCTATTGTACTATTGTGGACATCAGCGGCGGCGGAGGCGGCGGACGTCTGCATCGTATCCCTATTCCCATCTTCATCCCGATCCCTTACCATCCCCATCCCGATCCCACCCTATCTCCACCATTCCGATCTTCATCCCACCAACTCAGTTGGGAATTTGCCCCTCGAAACTCAGAAAGGGGACAGCTTATTCCCCATCTGGGGGGGGCAAATCAGCCCGTGTGGCCCAGGCCACGCCCGTGGGGATAGGGATCTGTTAAGCACTGCTGAGGACGGCAGCGTCCGCAGACGTCAGCGTCGGCGACAGTCGAGGGCGGCCGCGGACGCCGGCGCCACGTCAGCGACGGCGGATGCAGCGGACGGCAGCGTGAGCGGACGTCAGCGGCGGCGACCGTCGAGGACGGCCGCGGAAATCGTCGTCGGTAGGCGCTCGTCCAGGGCGGGTGGTAAGTAACTCATAGGGGGGGGACCTGCATGGGGCGTGGGGCCAAGGTCCCTGAAGTGGCCCCTTTGGGGGGCCCCTGCTGGTTCCAAGACGGGGCCTCAAAGGGCCCCATTTGGGGGTGCTTTCCTGTTCTCACGCCCCACGCAGGCCACTCTCCATGCCCACCCGCCCGATCGCCGGCGGACTCTGACGAGCCCCCGGGCCGAGGGGGTGGCGCGCCGCCGCGGGTCGCCGCGGGCCGCCGCGGGCCGCCGTGGCGCACACCGCACCGCCCAGGTTCGAGTACCCGCCCTCGGAGGGGGGCTTCGCCGCGGCGCCCGCCTCGCTGAACCCCTTCGCGGCCAGGCGCGCCGGCCGCCCGCGCCCCCGCCGCCGACGCCGCGCGCCCCTTGCCGCGGAGGGCGCGGCCGCCGCCGCTGACGCCGACGCCGTCGGCGCCGACGCCGACGACGCCGCCCGCGCCCCCGCCGCGGAGGTCGCGTTCGCCGCCGCCGACGCCGCCGCCGCCGACGACGCCGACGGCGCCGTAGTCGTCGACGAAAACACACACAGACACAATGAATCCTCGATTCCTCAGAAAATATGGGAAATATGGGAAGTGGGGGGGAAGACAGAAACCCAGAAAATATGGGGAAATATGGGGAATATTTTTATTTGTGTGTATGTATGTGTGTGTGTCCCAGGGCCCCTTCAGTAGCGCCGATTCCAATGCAGCTGGTTTCGGCCCCGGCGCTCGCTCCAGAAGGCGCCAGGAAAACCAGCTGCGTGAGCTGATTCGCCACCTCCCCCCCCATGCTGTTCCCGGTTTCGTGCGACCCGGCCATCGTTTTCCTCCTCTTCATCCTTTTCCTTGTCGTTCTTCTCCTCACATGTCCTCTTCCTCCTTCCTCTTCCTAGCCTTTGTGGGGCTGGCTCATGCTCCTCGTCCTCCCCCTCCTCTTCTCCGCTTTCCTCCCCATCCTCCTCCTCTTCCTCCTCGCCCTCATCTTCGGCCTCCTTCATCTCGTCCCCCTCTCCTTCGCTTTTTTCTCCATTCTGTTCCATCTACAGGTTCTCATTGCCGCACGAGCAGACGTAACTATCCGCAGGCCTGGCCAGGTTTGTCGCACGAGATGTCCCGACCACATTGTCCCGGAGCTTGGAACTTCCAACAGTTCCACTGAGGAAGGGCCAGCGATTTTCAAGGTGTGGTTCTCGCAGTGGCGACGGGCACAGCTGTCATCAAAGCTACCAGCAGCTTCGCGGGTGGAGGGACGGCGGGTTCCAGAAACGTGTCTCGCACCAGCGCCGAGCACATTCGCCACAGATACTCCCGACAAATCCAAAGATGGAGGGCTGGTCGTTTTTTGTCACGTGGTTCTCGCCACAGCGCGGCGCGCATTCGTAGGCGAAGCTTCCAACAGTTGGACGGATGGAGGGCTGGTCGTTTCAAAGATGGGCTTTTCACTCCAGCGCTGCCCATATTGAAGAGGAGGGTGCACGACGGAGACGCAGGGGAAGAGGACAACGGATGCGTCGACTGAGCGCACGCCGACAGGGGGTCCACACGCCGACAGGGTCGGCGGATTCGTCTTGACAGTTCCCCACAATAGTTGCACGGATTGCGGGCTCGTCGTTTCAGACATGCGGTTTTCGAATTCTAGGCGCTTCGCGTAACCCCACCAGCAGCCTGCCCCCTCCACTCGCCGGTCCGCCGCTGAGGTGCTGCGTGAGGCCCCGCCTAGCCGCTTTAGGTGAGGCTGCGCCCCGCTGCGTTCGGTGAATTTGTCGCTGCGTGCCCCGCTTTGACTGGACTCGCCGCTGGCGCGCTCGCCCGCGGCCGCTGACTAAAAAGTAACCCTACCAGCTGTGTTCGGCTCCGTTTCAGGCCGCTGTAATTTATGTCGTTGCTAGTCGGCAGTCTCCTGACGGCGCGCGGCCCTTCCGCTTGCGCTCGCGAACAAAAAGTCACCCCACCAGCCCATCCAGAAACGATGCCCAGAGGAGTTGCCTCAATCAGGGAAGTGGGCAGCACGCACAGGAAGTGTCCCCTAGTGGAGGCCTCTTGGGGCGTCTTGGGGGTTTCTTGGCCGTCTCCGAAGCCTCTTGGAGCGTTTTGGGTGCTTCGGGGAGCTTCTTGAGGCCTCTTGGGGGTCTCTTGGGAGCCTCTTGGAGGCCTCCGCCTCTTGGGGCCTCCTGGGGTTTCCTGGGTGCTTCTTAGGGCCCTTTTCAGGCGCTCTTGGGAGCCTTGGGAGCGCTCTTGGGCCATCTTGGGAGCGCTTTGGAGCGTGGCTTTGAGACGACGGCCTCGCCGCGGCGTCGGCGACCCAGGCGGCGACCCTGCGGGATCGGCGACGCGGCGGCGGCCCTGGCCAGATCGGCGCGACGACGACCTCGACGACCACGCACTGCACGGCTGTATTCCGCCCGCCCCCGGGTCCCCCCGTGGTGGTGGTGATTAGGGGGCAGAAAAGAGGGGGTTGATGACTAGGGGGGGGGATATCATGGCGGGGGCCATGATATTTCCCCTGATCTTACGGCGCCTTCTCTTGTTTCGTTGCTTCCCTGGCCCCCCCGCTGGGCCGTGCACGTGCCGCCGGTCGTGATTTGCACCCCCCCCTCTTGGACGCCCCCCTCTTGGCCGCTCCCGAGTGGTGACGGAGTCGGTGGTGGGCCGGCGCCCCCGCTGCGTTGCGGGGCGTGGCCCCCCGGCCACAGGGTCTCGCGCCGGCCGCGCTGGGCCGCCCGCCCGGCGGCGCTCCCGTGCGTGTCTATAGATGCTGCCCGGCAGCGAGGACGATGGCATCCTGCTGCTTTTGCACCTGGTGTGGAGCCTTTTGAGAGCGCTCTTGGGGGCATCTTGGAGGACGTCGATCAAACAAGGGGGGAGCTTCGATTAAGAATGCCCCCCAAGGCCAGCGCTCTTGGAAACCTTGCCAATCTGCCAAATCTTCCAAGATCTGCCCAAGGACATCAGTTAGGAAGCTGCCAAAGTGTGGGGCCTTTTGGGGCCGCTCTTCGGGACGACCGACATGGGCACGGAAAGGATGTGTACAATGCCCAACAGCAGTTCCTGTTCATTTTGAGCAGGGCTCGCTGTCCGCGCCGCCGCGGCCTGTGTCCATGGGAGACAGAAGGCCGCCTGCCCAACAGCGGCCGCTGTTGGTTTGGGACAACATTTGTTGTTGGGCAGTGTACCCATTCTTTCCGTACCCATTTCAGGCGTCCGAAGCTCTTTGGGGCATTTTGGAGGACGTCGATCAAGCAAGAGGGGAGTTTTAATTACGGTTGCCCCTCCACGGCCAAATTGAGGGACCTAAATTTCTTGCAAGCCAATGATGACGGCTTCCTCGCCAATGCCGTTTTGGACGCCCTGACCGCTCGCGACCGGCCCCGTCCAGGTCCAGGGGAGGGGGTAGGGGGAGGGGTAGAACCTTCCCCAAAGGGGACGAGGGGAAGATGGATAACAAAACACCCTAGGCCACCTACGCCCCAAAGGGCTGGTGGGACTTGTGACGTTCACACTTGTCTTGAACGGATCTAGCAGGTGCACGGATGGTGGGCCCGTGGTTTCAAAGATGTGGTTATCGCCTCAGCGCCCCGCACCTTCGTCGCACAAGTCTCTAGCAGGTGCACGGACGGAGGCCCGGCTGTCTCGCACAGGCTGGTCTCGTCTTGCCGCATTCGGTTGTCTGTTCGGCTCCCCCTTCAGTCACACGGGTCGAGGGACGGTCGTCTCAGACATGCGGTGATCACCCGAGCGCCGCGCACGTCTGCCTCACAAGTTTTCAACACTTACACGGTGGACGGTGATGCGGAACAGATCCCTCGGCAGAGATGTCTTGGCAGGCGTGTGAAGAGGTCCGCGCCATTCCGCCGACCCCCAAGACGAGCAGAGTCGTGAAGGTCGGAGCCGAATTTGGGGCGATGTGTCGACGCGAATTGCGAGTGTGGCGTAGAGCCTACCGTCTTGGCAGCCTTATTTCTGACGCTTCATGTGTCCCCCCCAGCCCATCCAGAAACGCCCCCCAGTCGAGTTTCCATAATCGTTTTTTTATCCATTGTTTTGCCGATCAGCGCGGGCCCTCGCACACCCCCTTCCCCCAGGTGGAGTAGATCTTGGTTGTTTTGGGGGCGCCTGTTTCAAGCGGGCGGAGTCTCCCCCAGAGGCAGCACTCCTGCAAACAGTCGCACTGAGCAGAGGTCTGGAACCGGACCCCCCCCGCCCCCCACCATTTCCGCCCAATGTCGAAGCGCCGAAAATCGGGGATGGACAGAACCCCCAACAGCGACACGTCGATTAGTGAATTGTCCGTTTTCGGTTCTCGAGATGGCGCCGTGGCCGTTATTTTCCAGGCTTGCGCCCGCCAGGTTTGGGCCTCAGGTCGTTTTCACTAAACCACGTTCTACTAAAGGGGGGTCTGTCCATCCCCGAGAAAAAGCGCTCACGTTGTCCCCCCCAGCACAGACCTCCTGCCCTGACACGTCGAGTAAGGAATTGGCCGTTTTCGGGTCGCGAGAGGGCGTCGCGGGAGTCCTTTCTGCGGGTGCAGGTCCGTCGGCTTCGGTCCCATGCCGTTTTCGCTGAGGGGAGGTTTACTAAAGGGAGGTTTGTCCGGCGACGACGTGTAGGCTATTTTTCCCTACCTAGGCTCTGCCTAGAAGGGTTCTTACCCTGTTCTCTTAAAGGGGCCGGGCAGTGGGTCCCGCCCCGGGCGGTTCCCCCAGGATCCGCCCCGCGGTTCCCCCAGTTGCGCCCCCTGGGTTCACCCAGCTTAGCTTGGCTTAGCTTAGCTTAGCTTATCTCATCTTAGCTTAGCTTAGCTTAGCTTAGCTTAGCTTTGCCTAGCCTAGCTTGGCCTAGCTTAGCTTAGCTCAGCTTAGCTTGGCTCAGTTTAGCTTAGCTTAGCTTGGCTTGGTTTCGCTTAGCTTAGCTTAGCTTAGCCTAGCCTAGCCTAGTTTAGCTTAGCTTAGCTCAGCATAGCTTAGTTTACCTTAGCTTAGCGCAGCGCAGCATAGCGCAGCGCAGCATTAGCACAGCACAGCATAGCCAAGCATAGCATAGCATAGCATAGCATGGCATAGCATAGCATAGCTCAGCATAGCATAGCATAGTATAGCATAGCATAGCATAGCGCAACATAGCATAGCATGGCATAGCAGTGCGTAGCATTGCACAGCGCAGCATAGCATATCATATCATAACATAGCATAACATATCATACCCTAGCCTAGCCTAGCCCAGCATAGCATTGCGCAGCATAGCATAGCATAGCATAGCATAGCATAGCATAGCATAGCATAGCGCAGCACAGCATCCACTATTGCTGCTGCTAATGTTGCTTCCTAGAGGCTCCAACTCCTAGGTAGGGTCGCACTGGGATCATCGAACATTTGCGAATACAGATAATTTTCTGTCTACAATCTGCCTGTAGGGGACACGCTTGACCCAGCCCCACCTCTCTCCTCCCTCCGATCCTCTCTCTCCCCTGACCCCTCCAGGGGGGAGGACGCCGATCGAGGACGACGAGGCCGAGGACGGCGGCGTCGCCGTCGGCCTCGGCTCTCCTCCGCCGTCGCCGTCCTCGTCGTCGTCGCCGTCTCCGCCGCCCGAGTCTTGGTCGTCATTGTCTTTCTCACCGTCGTCGTCGTCGTCGTCGTCTCGTCGTCGTCGTCGTCGGTGGTCCATTCGTTCCCGCCGCCGTCCTCGACGCCGCCGCTGCCACCGCCGCCGCGGGAGCCGGCGCCAGGCGCCCAGGGCAGGGCGGCGCGGCGGCCCCGGCCTCGGCCCTGGCGGGCGGCGGCGCTGGGCGGCGCGCGAACCCCTCGTGACCCCGCGGGCCGCCGCCGTCGGCGACCTCGTCGCCGTCGCCGCCGCCATGCCGCCGCCCGTCGCCGTCGCGGGAGGAGCACGTCGCCGCCGCCCTCGACGGCGCCTCTCTCTCCATGGCCGCGTCGCCTTGCGTCGTCGTCGCCGCCGTCGCCGTCCGTCGACGCCGTCGCCGTGGCGCTGTCCGTCGCCGTGGTCTGTCGTCGTCGTCGGCGTCGTCGCCATCATCGCCAACATCACCATCTTCGCTGTTTCCCCAGCGTCGTGTGCCGTCGTCGCAGTCGCCATCGTCGTCTCTCCTTCGTCGTCGGTCGTGCTGGGGTTGGAGGTTTTGGGGGCCTTCTGGGTAGACGACTCGCGGCGGCACGCGCCAACAGGCGGCGCGCCCCCCCTCCGAAAAATGCAAGTGCCTTGTCGTGTTTAATCCTGAGGACCGAGGGCCGCTATTTCAAAGGACCCGAGGGCAGTCCAAATCGTGCCTTGCGGCGCGGTGGTGTCCAGACGCGAGGGGGTCTTGGGTTTCCTCCTCCTCCTCATTCTCATCGTCATCCTCATCCGGGGGGGCAGGTTCGGGCAGCCATGCCTGAACACCGCAGAAGCACCCCAGCTGCCCAACGACAGTTGTTTACGTAATTCTATCTCCCAGCTGCACAAGAACCGGATTTCTTATGCAGGGGTTGGAAGGGCGTCTTATTGTGGACGCACTGTTGGATAATGGTCGGCGCGCGTGCCTTTCATCGAGTGATAAGTAAATTGGTGCGGCGGCCGCTTGCGTGCTGCGGAGGGGGTGGCGTCGAGGCTAGGGCGAGGAGGAGGAACATAATGAGGGGAGAGGTCGAGGAGGAGGAGGAGGAGGAGGAGGCGTAAAATACACATAAGGGGCAGGAGAGTGTGGAGGAGACAAATCCGATCGATCAGGGGGACAGGGCGGACATGGGGAGGAATACGTGCAGGGGCGGAGAGACTCAGAGGATAGGGGCGCAGGATGAAGGCCAGGGAGAGAACTACGAGGGCGAAAGCTCGGCCGACGAGCAGGGCAAGATGGAAGAGGAGGTGGGGCAAGAGGAGGTTGGCGAGGAGGATGAGGGCCATCCCTGCCAGGCGCACGAAGGTCCTAGTCGATCGACGCTCGCGCGATCGAGCCATAGGAACACGGGCCGAACGGAGTGTTGGGGGTTTGAAAGGGGGGGGGGGATTTTCTGCAACGACGTGGGGCAGGTCTACAACATGGATTTCCCAACTCTGCCCCAACGTGGTGCTTGTGGGCAAGAAGTTACCAACATTGGCTTGGGGAACCCGCGGAACCTCATGATGCTGCTGATGATACTGATGTTGTTGATGATGATGCTGATGATGATGACAATGATGACGATGCTGATGATGCTCATGATGCTCATGATGATGCTGCTGATGATGATGACGATGATGACGATTAAATCATGATGATGATGATGAAGATGATGATGATTATGGTGATGATGATCATGATGATGATGCTGCTGATGATGGTTGATGATTATGATGGTGATGAGGATGAGGATGATGATGATGATGATGATGATGATAATGATGATGATGAGGATGATTCGGATGATGATGATGTTGATGATGATGACGCTGTTGATGATGATGAGGATGATGAGGATGATGATGATGATGACGACGATGATGAGGATGACGATGCCGATGACGATGACGACGATGATGATGATGATGATGCTGATGCTGATGCTGATGATGATGATGCTGATGCTGATGCTGATGATGTCGATGATGATGAAGATGACGATGCTGATGACGATGATGACGATGACGATGATGACGATGACGATGTTGATGACGATGATGATGATTACGATGATGATGATGACAATGCCGATGACGATGACGATGACGATGACGATGATGATGATGATGCTGATGCTGATGCTGATGCTGATGCTGCTGATGATTACGATGACGATTACGATTACGATTACGAGACGATGAGATGACGATGACCATGACGATGACGATGACGACGACGACGACGATGATGATGATGATGCTGGTGGTGATGATAATAATGATAATGTTCTGAGGAGGAGGAGGAGGAGGAGGAGGAGGAGGAGGAGG